TCTCCATATCTGAGAGGTGAACTTGCAGTGCAAAAAGAGATGGTGAATTGTCTCTGCCTCCTCTTCACATAGATAACATTTGGAGCACAATTGAAAACCTCTTCTAGTTAGATTGTCATGAGTTAGAACTGCTTCTCTTGCCGGTAGCCATGTGAAGCATGCCACCTTATGTGGTATTTTTACTTTCCAAATCATCTTCCATGGCCAACATTCCACCTGATTATTGGACTGATTGAACTCCTTGTAAGCATCTTTAACTGAGAACTTCCCTTGACTATTGCCTTGCCATTTGATCATGTCTTGAACTTGGTTTGAGATGATGCCACTGAACTGCTGCAGAGAACTGTAGAATTCCATAACTCTGTCAATCTCCCAATCATTTAACAGTCTTCTGAATGTGAGATTCCATCCTTGGTTTGACCACACCTCTTCTATAGTAGCATTCTGTTGTTGACACAAATTGAAAATATCCAGGAATAGTCCCTTCAGAGATCCTTGGCCTAGCCAATTGTCCTCCCATAGTGAAATCTTTCTACCATTACCAACTTTGAACTTTGCCTTGTTGATTAGTTTTGGCCATAAGTTCCTAATTGATCTCCACAGACTGACTCCATATGGTCTTCTTACTGTCTTGGTTGTCCAGCTTCCTTCCTTTCCATATTTTTCCCTAATCACTTCTGTCCACAGAGATTGCTCATCTGCTGCAAATTTCCACAACCACTTCAGCATCAGACTTTGATTCTGCACTTTCAGATTTTTGATCCCCAACCCCCCTGATTTTTTGCTTGTAATTAGATCACCCCACTTAACCAGGTGAAACTTCTTTTTGTCACAGTTACCTTCCCATAGAAAGTTTCTTCTAAGGGCATCAATTCTGTTCACTACACTAGCTGGCATTGGAAATAAAGACATCATGCATGTAGGCATGGCATCCAAAACAGAATTGATCAAAATCAGCCTCCCTCCCATTTTGACAAATACTGGTTCTTCCAGTTAGACAATTTCTTTTCACATTTTTCCAACACATTATTCCATATTCCTTTTGATTTGCTCTTGGCTCCCAAAGGCATCCCCAAGTATATAGTAGGTAGAACCCCCACCTTCCCCCCCAAAACATTTGCCAGACTCTGTATTTCCATTACATCATTAACCGGATAAATAAGGCTTTTTTGCCAGTTGATGTGCAATCCAGAAGTGGCTTCAAACAGGATGAATATCACTCTTAGGACTTTCATTTGCTCTCTATCTGCTTCACAGAATACTAAGGTATCATCTGCATATTGTAAGTGAGAAATCCTTTCATTGTTGTCAGTTCTATTGGTCATTTTAAATCCCCTTATCCAGCTGTTTGTCTGTGCTTTCTTCAGCATTTCATTCAGTCCCTCCATGGCCAAGATAAATAGAAAAGGGGAAAGAGGGTCCCCTTGTCTTAGCCCCCTCTGAGAAGGAAAAAATCCAGCTGGAGCTCCATTAATAAGGATTGAGAAACTTACAGTAGAAATGCAGTATGATATCCATCTAATCCACCTCCCTCCAAATCCCATCCTCCTTAGAATTTGTAGCAGGTACCTCCAGTTTAAATGATCATAAGCCTTCTCTATATCCAATTTACATAGAATCCCAGGTTCTTTGCTTGAGATCCTTGTATCTATGCATTCATTAGCCACTAGGACAGCATCCATGATCTGTCTTCCCCTAATGAAAGCCATTTGTTGATGATCCACCAGCTTGTTGACCACCTTCTTGAGTCTTTCAGTCAGTAGCTTGGAGATAATTTTGTATATGCTACTGATCAAACTTATTGGTCTGAAATCTTTTAGCTCTTTTGCCCCTGCCTTCTTAGGAATCAATGCTACAAAGGTAGCATTCATACTCTTCTCAAATATTTCCTGCTCATAGAAGTTCTGGACTGCTGCTACAACATCCTTTTTTACCACTACCCAGCATTTGTTAAAAAAAGCCATTGAAAAACCATCTGGTCCTGGTGCTTTATCCCCTGCACATGCCTTAACACTGTCCCATATTTCCTGTTCTCCAAATGGGCTTTGTAGCATTAGGTTGTCCTCCTCTGTAATCATTTGATGGATGCTATTGGGCCCTGTTGGTCTCCATTCTTCTTCCTCTGTGTACAGCTTCTTATAGTATCTGATAACCTCCCTTTTGATGTCTTCTGGAGCCTGTAAAGACTCCCCTTCTACCACCAGTTGATCTATATTATTGTATCTTCTATGAGCATTAGCTGTTCTGTGAAAGAACTTGGTGTTCTTGTCTCCCTCTTTTAGCCATAAAGCCCTGGACCTCTGCCTCCATTCTACTTCTTCATTACTAGCAATCTCGTCAAACTCCAGTGATAATGAGTTCTTTGAGAGGATTTCTTCTTCAGTCAGGCTCCTTTGATCATGAATTCCTTCAATCTCTGCAAGTTGACTGAGAACACTTGCCTTCTGCAAAGCTAGGTTGCCTTGCAAGGTTCTGCTCCATTCTTTGAGCTTGGTCTTCAAAGCTTGGAGTTTAGAGACCAGTATAAAGTCTGGTCTCCCTTCATAAAAAAAGGAATTCCACCATTCTTCAATTCTTCTTTAAATCCCTCAGCCTGTAACCACCAATTTTCAAACTTAAAGTATGATTTGACTGGTTCCCATCTTCCACATTTGAGCATCAATGGAAAATGATCTGATTTCTCCCTTTGCAACCTCTGCTGTTTGATGCTTCTGAACTCTTCATTCCAATCAGTAGAAATTAAGAATCTATCCAGTCTAGCTGCAATAACATGTCTATCCCCTTTCTTCCAAGTGTACTCCCCCCTGCTAGCTGCATATCTACCAACTCCATATCTTCAATGAAATTTGAGAAATCCATCATTCCTCTTGAGATTCTGGAACAATTTTTTTTTTCCGAAGGATATCTCACATTGTTAAAATCCTCACACACCACCCATGGACCAGAAAAGAGGCCCCTTACCCCTGCCAACTCCCACCACACTTCTTCCCTATCCCTTCTATCATTGGGAGCATATACAGCTGATAGATGCCATATATAGTCCTGAGTCTTGCCAAGAAATTTACAAGTAATAGAATGAGCACCCACCCCACATACTTCCCCCTCCCAAGCTCTACCATCCCACATTATTAAAATTCCCCCTCTAGTTCCACTGGCCTCCAATTGAGTATATTTCACCCACCTGTGATCCCAAAGTTCTCTAACAATCTCCCTGATATCCCCTTGAATTTTAGATTCTTGAAGACAAACTATATCTGCTTTCCATTCTACTAGTAGGCTTTTGATAACTTTCCTTTTCCTTGCCCTATTCAGCCCCCTCACATTCCATGACAATATGTTTACTAACATTAACTCTGATTGATAATGACTCCCCCCCTACTTCTTGTCCCATTACTCTTAAAATTGCTTCCTAACTCTAGTCCTTTTAATTCTTTGATCCCCTTTTTCTTTGGTGTCTGATTCCCTGATGATGCTTCTTTGCCTGTATTTACTTGTCTTCTGCTGTCAATTTTCATGAACAATTCCAAAGCTTCTCTTTCACAGCCATTAAAGTCTACCCCAAATTCTTTACTAAGCTTTATAATGTTCTGGTGCACCCAAATAGATGCTTCAAACTCTAGGTCTTCTTCAGGTTCTAAAGATCGTTGGTTTAGAGGCACTGCCACTTCTATTGCCCATGCATCTCCTCTATATGTTTCTGCTTCTTGTATCTGCATGTTGCTGTTCTTGCTTGTTTCTACTATTGTTCCTTCATTCTCTGCTTCTGTTACTGTTTCATTAACCTCGAGCAACACCATCTGTTTTGTTCCTTCCTTCTCATCTTCCATTCCCTTTGCTTGCTCTCCTTCTTCTGTTGCTTCATTGTTGCTTTTGTCTCTTAAATTCTCCGCCAGTACTAGTATGTTATTCTCCTTCAAAGGCTCGAACTGGATGGCTTTTAATTCTTCATGGAAAGGATCATATCTGGGCCTAACTGTGGCCTTATTAAAGGCCTTTTCTTCAGAAATTTTTTGGGCCAAAAAATCTGGGCCCATTCTCTTTACTGTATCAGTCTGTTTGGCCTTGTTATAAGGTTTTAAAAACTCATGTGACATGTCACGTGAGGTACTAGGTTTAGACCAAGTATCCTCATATCCTGTCATTATTGTATTACCTCGAGCCCCTCCCATTGTGCTTTTGTTACACTCTATTACCCGCTGATGTTTTACCCACTGGTTCAAACTGTTATCTTCTCCATTCTTACCAGTGATGGACCTCGCCGGCAATTCACACCAGATCTGCATTTCAAAGACCATACCTTCAGATTCCACCTTCACGGTTTTAGGAGTTGAAGAACCATCTCCATGGACCTTTAATCTTGCCCATTTCAGATGGTTTTTTAATTCCGTTTCCTCCTCTGTTTCAATCCAACCACCACATACATCTCCAATTTCTTTGAACACTGTTTGAGACCACAGATGAAGAGGAAGCCCCACTATCCTTATCCATGTGTGCTTTATTTTTGTCAGGGCCGGGCTTGTTCCCACCATTGGAGACCACCATTGAAGCTTCACTTTAAACTTCTTCCAGAACCATTCTATTTTTAGAATTTGGTCGGCTGTAGCTTTCGATGAGAATTCAAAGAGGCATCTGTGCTTGTCCATCTCATAAATGTTGATTTCCTTTGTTTGCTTCCAAGAGTATGAAGCCCATTTTCGAACCTCCGATAAAGTCACTATTTCTGGGCTATCTTCCGGGAAGAACCCTACCAAGCACCTACCCAGCAGCTCATTGTGTTTATAGTTCCCAGATATATGAATGATGCCTCCATCTTCATTAACTTTTGCATCATTCAATTCTCTATCTTTTTTTTTGTTGATAATAAGGAAATTTTATATATAATAACTAGAAGTTGTTGGTGTTAATACAAACACTTGAAAATTTGCCACACATTGGTGGTCTATCATTAGAGATATTCTGGTTTCCTAACGACTTAAGTCTATTACACGCCGTAATGTCTAATGACTTATTGTAATAATAAACTCCATTCGCATCCTTTGACAATTGTTGGTTCACAAAATGAGGTGGACTTGCGTGGAGCTTTGGATTATCACTGCAGTGCTGCTTGTATTCCTTCTTGCTTGCATCTTTTGCCAGTAGATGCGCCACTTGGTTTCCTTCACGAAAATTATGCTGCAGGAGTAGGTGCTTCTGCTGGAGCATCAATAATCTGCATGCATGCACATGTTAGATAAAATAATATGGTCCTGGTTGATTGCTTGTGTAGAGTCTGTTTCCACTTCAAGTGGGAATAGATTGAATTTTTTTGCTATTTGAAGGCCTACATGGATTGCCTGTAGTTCTGTGTGTAGTGGAGAAAGAGCACAATCCGCCTTTTGGTATCCCATTACCTAGTTACCCAAGTGGTTTCTGAACACACCTCCCATGCCAGATTTATTTCCATAGGTCCGGAAGGCTCCATCTGTATTTAGTTTGTACCAGTGTTGTTGTGGGGGATGCCACTTTATATTTGCATTCATTTTGTCGTGCGATGCAACTCCTGTGGAATTGAGGAAGTGGTATTCTATCGCCAGATTTTTAATATCGTTAAGGCGAGGATGATATTGAGTGTTATTAATATTGTTATTATTTCTGTTAATCCAAATACCCCATAGTATAAAAGCTAGGAGGTCAGTCCAAGATATAGTAAAAGGTTGTTGATTTTTGTTGAGGTCCTTTAGGCTAAGAAGCCAAAGGTTGTCTGTATTGGTTGTTACATTGTTAATGCCCAGGGATCTCCATAGATTTGAAACAATTGGGCATTCGAGGAAGATGTGATTAATTGTTTCTTCCTGATTCCGGCATATGGGGCAATGCGGATCGATATTTATCCCTATGTGATGGAGATAGGATCGACATGGAAGCCTACTATGAAGGCATTGCCAAAGAAAATATTTGATCTTGTTAGGGCAATGTAATTTCCATATCCAGTTGAAGTTTTGGTTTTCTTGATTTTGCCAATTGTTTATTAATTGGTAGCAGGATTTGGAGTTGATTATACCATTGTTATTCAAACTCCACATAGGTTTATCTAGGTTGTGTAGAGGTTGCGGCATTGACTTTATGTTGACCATAATAAAGGGACTTGTTTCTACTAAGGTGTCTATTTATGGCCTTCTCACATACTCATCTCTATAACATGCTAGTGTAACTTGACAACCAGAAATATGATTCTTACCAATGGAAATGATCCCTGGCATCTCTGTCATCAGCTTGATTCCTATAATTTGTTCTTTGAATTATGGTAGTTTTCTTATTGCCGCTGGCAAGTATTTTACAAGAGTGCCTATGCAGCTTTGTTGCAATCTTGACACACTATTTCAAAATCTGTTTGTGGGGTAATACTTTAATTGGCAATTTTTATTATTTCATGATCTGGATATGATGTAAATTGCTGTTCCTTTTTTTCCCCTTCCGAACTCCATTATTTATACATTCTCAGTTAGTTGTCTAAACAATGTAAATTTTGCAGATACCTAGATTTGCATTTGAGAAATTCCCTGGATCTGAGGCCATACTGACAACTCAGATGAAGTCTGTCGGTGAGTCCATGGCAGTAGGTCGCACATTCCAAGAATCCTTCCAAAAAGCAGTGCGGTCTCTAGAATGTGGTTATTCTGGATGGGGCTGTATCCAGGTTAAGGAATTGGACTGGGATTGGGACAAATTGAAGTATAGTCTTCGGGTTCCTAATCCTGATCGCATCCATGCGGTATATGCTGCAATGAAGAGGGGGATGAAGGTAGATGATATCTTTGAGCTCAGTTACATAGACAAATGGTTCCTCACTCAGCTAGGGGAGCTTGTAGATGTGGAGCAATTCCTTCTGGCTCGCAGTTTGTCGGACTTAACAAAGGATGACTTCTATGAAGTGAAAAAGAGAGGGTTTAGTGACAGACAGATAGCTTTTGCGACAAAGTCCAGTGAGGAGGAGGTTCGGTCAAGGCGTTTGTCTTTGGGTGTGAAACCAGCATATAAACGAGTTGATACATGTGCTGCAGAATTTGAGGCTGATACGCCTTATATGTATTCATCTTATGACCATGAGTGTGAATCAGCTCCTACCGATAGGAAGAAAGTGTTGATTTTAGGTGGTGGACCAAACCGAATTGGACAGGGTATTGAGTTTGATTATTGTTGCTGTCATACATCCTTTGCCCTTCAGGTTTGTGTTTCTTGATGATTGATTTAGGGTCTAAATTTTTCTGCATTGCCTTTTAGGGTATACTTCTTCAACTGCCAATGAATAACTTGATCAGAATTGGGTCGAGGCTTACGTTCTGATAAGGTTTCTTCCATATAATGATTCAAATTATCTGATTATTCTTCAATAATACTGAAATCCAAAAGTCGATAAATTCTGGCAAATGAATGTCATGATCTACAGGTTCCATTTAATATGGAAGACTCCTATAACATGGCTCCAATAAGAAATATAGCATTGGTTGAATGGATTTTCAACTTTTTAGAATGATGAACTTCTGATTGCACAATGCAGACAATAGAAAAATCATAGTTTTCGTCTTCGCATATGACGTATTTGAAAAATAATATATTGGTCTTTTGTTCTGTCTTGGTTCTCATAGTTGGCATTTTATGGTTACTACTTTGCTCCTATGTTGCTTTCCAACCTTGAAATTTGATTTGTTTTTTGGTTTATACAGGACGCAGGCTATGAAACAATTATGATGAATTCCAATCCCGAGACAGTTTCTACAGATTACGACACAAGTGATCGTCTCTACTTCGAGCCTCTGACAGTCGAGGATGTTCTTAATATCATCGACTTGGAAGGACCTGATGGTATCATTGTGCAATTTGGAGGTCAAACCCCATTAAAACTGGCTCTTCCAATTCAGAATTACTTGGATGAGCGAAGGCCTAAGACTAGAAGTGGAGCTGGCTTTGTTCGCATTTGGGGTACATCACCTGATTCCATTGATGCAGCTGAAGATAGGGAGAGGTTCAACGCCATCCTGAATGAACTACAGATTGTGCAGCCAAAAGGGGGTATCGCAAAGAGCGAAAAGGATGCCGTTGCCATTGCGACAGAAGTGGGATATCCTGTTGTCGTCCGACCCTCTTATGTCTTAGGTGGCCGGGCAATGGAGATAGTTTACAACAATGAAAAATTAGTGACATACCTTGAAAATGCTGTTAAGGTAGATCCGGAGCGCCCTGTTCTGATTGACAAGTATTTAACTGATGCTGTAGAGATTGATATTGATGCACTTGCTGATTTGCATGGTAATGTGGTCATCGGTGGAATAATGGAGCACATTGAGCAGGCTGGGGTTCATTCAGGTGACTCAGCTTGCATGCTTCCTACACAAACAATTTCTGATTCATGCTTGGAAACTATTAGGTCGTGGACTACGAAATTAGCAAAGAGGCTAAATGTGTGTGGCCTCATGAATTGTCAATATGCCATCAGTGCTTCTGGTGAGGTGTTCTTGCTTGAGGCTAACCCCCGTGCATCACGGACGGTTCCTTTTGTTTCCAAGGCGATTGGGCACCCGTTGGCTAAATACGCTTCTCTAGTTATGTCAGGTAAATCACTACATGACCTAAACTTCACCAAGGAGGTTATCCCAAGACATGTATCAGTTAAAGAAGCTGTTCTTCCATTTGAGAAATTCCAAGGATGTGATGTGCTTCTTGGTCCTGAGATGCGCAGCACTGGTGAGGTAATGGGTATTCACTATGAGTCATCAATTGCATTTGCCAAAGCACAAATTGCTGCTGGACAGAAAATGCCACTTTCAGGCACTCTATTCCTAAGTTTAAATGAATTGACAAAACCTCAACTTACCACAATTGCTCGAGCCTTTTTGGGGATTGGATTTCAAATCATTGCAACTTCTGGAACTGCACGTGTACTTGAATTAGAAGGCATGCCAGTGGAACGAGTGCTTAAAATGCATGAAGGGCGGCCACATCCTGCAGATCTCATTGCCAATGGGCAGATTCAGTTGATGGTGATCACAAGTTCAGGGGACGCACTTGATCAGATTGATGGCCGGAAGCTGAGAAGGATGGCTCTCGCATACAAGATACCTGTAATAACAACAGTGGCAGGGGCTTTGGCCACCGCTGATGCAATTAAAAGCTTGAAATGCAACAAGATTAAAATGACAGCACTTCAAGATTACTTTGATGTCAAGAAGGTAGCAGCTGAGCTCAAAAACCTGCAGTCTGCATCATCTGTTTCTACTAGTTGACTTGCCATTAGGTGAATCAGTCTTCTTTGGTTGCCTGTAAGTTTTTTCTCTTGTTCTGCTCTATGTTATAGGTGGCCTTGTTACTTTATGGATTTGGTGCCTCGTTTTTTCAATTTTTTTCTTCCTGACTAGCTTAACAAATGTACTGGAACATCAAAATCTACTTATAAATTAACATGTTTTCCTCATTTATATTGTGTATATAAATCAACAGAGATTGTCCATCTCTGTAAGTAGGTTTCTCCTCGTTTGCCTTATGCATCTTCTTCTTCACAAAGATGTCCCTTCTCTTTCAACTTGCAAAGTTCGCCGACATTCATCAAGTACAATTGAAATTAAGCTCACACAATTTTTAAGTTTTTCAGTTTACACACACACAGACATACATATATAATAAGTAGTGAAACGTATAGAAAATTTAAGTAAGTTGTTGAAACCTACAAAATCAAACATCTAAAAGTTGAACCTTTTGTAGATCAATAAAACATAGTAGTTTATTCCATAAAAAGATTATTGTAAAGGTTCAATGAATCACTTATCTTTGCACATGCAGGGTATGAATCAGCTGAACACTTGTTAGCTACTCAAATGAACTGTGGACTAAACTAGTTAGCTGGCAAGGCATTCAAAGACATACGAGGGGATGGAGTCGGGAGTTAAACTGGGCAAAAGGAAACAAAGCTGCAGATGAATTATATAGGATGGCATTGGCAGGTTTTACTTATTATATTTGGCAAGCAAGGAACCAAAGAATATTTCAAGGAAAGAAGAGAAATGTTGATACAATTAGTAGACTTGTGGTCCAGGACATTCACTGCCGAGGGAAGAACAACAAGAAGCTAGCTGGACCCCTGAGAAATTTGAACTTTCATCCCTAGGAATTCTTTGTCATGTTGAATCTAATGTAATGGGATATGGAAAGGGTAGATGGGAGTAGTAGTAGTAGGGAAGATGGTGTATGGCAATTTTGGGTTGTTCTTCTTGTACATATTTTCTTTCCCTGGTAAATAAAATATAATTAATTACCCAAAAAAAAAAAGATCACTGATCTGAAATACACAGTTGAGATATTTATTTGGAGATGGAATGCTTATACAATGTTTTATTAGCAGCCTTTCCTGATTCATATCTAAGTTGGTAAGTAGTCCACAGAGTCAATCTACTATGAGCAACACGATATTCATTTTTTTTTTTTTGAGTAGCGATATTCAAGTACTTATAATTGAGAACATTGACCAATGAAGCCCAATCCATATCCGAGCCATAGAATTTCTCAATTCTAACACAAGGTACTTATTAGATCGAATGTACTTATTCGATCTAACAGAATGATTTTGCCGTACAAATGGTTTTGAGTTATAGATTCTACTTTTCATGTCAAGCGTACAAGTCTAGTTTAGTGGGATTTACTTCTAAAGACAGGAATTCTTTTTCATCTCCCCTGTCAAAGTCGACGTCTTAACCTGACTTCTTGAGCTCAATTGCTACTAAACTACTCTAGTACAGCTAGTGTTAGTAGTACAACAGAATGCCATTCACCACCTGAAAGAGACGAGGAAGACTAACCGCCATCCTGCTCGAACCTTTGCTGCCTGAGTAATATAGCTGACTGCGAGAAGGAAGGTTCAAGGTATGGCGCATTTAACAAATTCTTATGACCAAACAAGTATAACATCAACTTTTCTCAGAAAAGAAGTATTTCTTGTTCAATGTTGATGAAACAACAATAGTAGAAAGAAGTACTTGTAAAATGTTGAATTCTACACCATTATTAGCATTTAAACTATTAACAACAACAACCACCCAGAAGAATCCCACTAGTGAGGTTTGGGGAGGGTAGAGTGTACGCAGACCTTACCCCTACCCCGGAGGGATAGAGAGGCTGTTTCCGGGAGACCATCGGCTCAGAGACACTAGATCCAACATTTAAACTATTAAAACTTGTGCAAAAATCTCATATTAAATCAGAGAAAACCAGGATATTAGCATAGCGCAATTGGCGATATACACTCTCCTTGGCAGAAAATAATACAGTAGGGAATATTGTCTCAAGAACTTTGAAACATAAACATGTAAATATATGAATGTACAGAGTGCAACACCTACATCACAAAGCACCATGGCCTTGAATGAAGCAAGCTAGCTATATTACAGAGGAATATCAGCTACTACTGTATTTACAAAGTCTGATATACCTCTAAAGAAAAGGAAACCAATAGAAAATCTGATGTTTGCCTAGAAGATTGTCAGAGCTCTAGGCTGTTGGAATGAATCAAAGAAAGAAGAAACTCTTACATCTGCCAAGATGTAATAATCTATTTTTCAATTACTTTTGGTTTCCATTGAATTGGCAATCTATTTTGTTTAGCTGGAGTACAACTAGATGCTGTTTCTGGTTTTCATTCTACACTTGAGACTTCTAAATATGTCCCTTTTGACTGGAAATCCGAAGCAACACAAGTCTCTGAGCTAATATTCTTGATCAAAAAGTTTGCCAAGGCACTCAGTTACAAGAATCAACTCAAGCAGAAATGCAATTAGCTTTCTCCCAACCTCATATTTTCACCTTAGCATGTCTCCAGAAGCCAGTCGCAAGCAACTCAAGGCCGGTGATATGCTAAATGTGTCACCATCAGCATTATAAAATGAAGGATGTCCAAGAGGTGCTGGCCTATCTGGAATTTCAGGAACCTCAGTATCTCCTTCCAACATTTTCAGTGCATCCAATATAGTTGGCCTCAACGCCACCATCACGTGAGCGCACAATATTCCAACGAGAAGAAATCTTACCATTATAGACCTTGGATTTGCGTTTCCTGAATCCTCATCATTCTTTACTAGGACAGCATCCAAAACTTCATTTATCTTTCCAGCTTTTACCTTCGACCAAGCCCAATCTGTGATCAGAAAAGCACGAGGCGACCCTGAAGTGAAATCAAGGACCTTTCTTCCACACATTATTTCCAAAATAACAACTCCAAAGCTATAAACATCGCTCTTCTCAGTCAATTGCCCGTAGAGAGCATATTCAGGAGCTAAGTAACCGTGCGTTCCTGCTACACGGGTGGTAAGATGAGACTGTCCTTCTCTACTTTGCTTAACCAACCCAAAATCAGCCACTCTTGCTCTCGTATCAGCATCTAACAGTATATTCGTTGCTTTAATGTCCCTGTGATAAATTGCTGGCTTTACCCCATAATGCAGATAAGCTAGTCCTTTCGCCACATCCAAAATTATGTTTTTTCTCTGAGGCCAAGACAACGGTTGCTTCATCTTTCCATCTTGATTGACATGAAACAAGTGATCATCAAGATTTCCATTGGGCATGTAGTCATAAATCAGGTATCTTTCACTCTCCCCACTTTTAATCCGGTTCTCATCAGTCACACAACACCCTCTAAGCGGCACAAGATTACGATGCTTCAAGTTACTTATGATCTCAACCTCATTGCAAAACTCATCTTTTTCTTGAAAATCAGATTCTATAACCTTTTTGACAGCAACAACAGTCCCATCTGCTAATGTTCCTTTATAAACTACTCCAAATCCACCTCTCCCTATAAAATTCTTTTGGGAAAAATTATCTGTTGCTTTTTCAAGCTCCTGAATTTTGAACCAAACAGCAGTTTTAGGCCTCATTCTTCGCCTAGACACTGTATCTTCCATTTCCACATCATCATTTTTCCTCCACCTTTTGTTCCACCAGTAATACAATCCCAACATAATAGACATGCATAATATTGCAATACCAGCTCCAGCCAACCCAAAGATTAAAGCTAAATGTCTCTTACTTGATGAACTTTCATTCAAATCAATACTAAAAATACATGATATGGCACCACTACTTTCAGGACCAGACTCATTGACAATACCAGCAGCATACAAAACTGTGAAGTAAAAACAATCAGTGGAATGAGATTTATTACCATCAATTGCAATCAACTGTTGCTGAACTCTAAGGCCAGCTGCTACACATCCATCACAGGCAGTAAAATCCTCAAGATCAGACCTACAACCAGAATCCAAAACAGTTGAAGGCCCCAGCTTTTTAGTCCAATCTTGAGTTGTCTGAATTGAAGCACAAATATTTGGTGTGATGACAAACTGAAAAGGGTCAAAGCAGAAAGAGGAAAGATTTGAAGGCAAAGACAAAGAATTGAGCTTTGATTGGAATTCTTGGATGCAAGAAACAGAAGTTTCCAAATTGGGCAGATGGAAAATGGAAGTTTCTTTAAGGTGTTGAGCCATAGCAACACCAAATAGGGACAAAAGGTTTTGACAACACTGACCTTTACTTGATGTAGGAATATCAGAACCATTGGAAATCTGAGGAGTTGAATTCAGAACTTTACATTTAGAACTGGACCATGGAACTCTTAAAACATAGCCAAAATCTAAGGGACAAGTTGCAGACAGATTTCTGCTATTTTGAGCTGAGGACATTGAAATTACCCAAGAAAAGAGACAGAACAACAAACACAGAATCCACAAATCACCCTTCATCTTTCAGTGTTTTATCAAAAGGAACACCTTTGATTCAAGAAACCATTTTAAAGAGTTTTTGTAATGATTGATGATCTGTGTAGTTTGTCTTGTTGTGTAAGAGGGTGTGTGCCTAGAGTCAAAATGTTAGGTTCAGTTTCTGTTCCTGGATTTTGTTAAGGCGGCTGACTTATAAATCAACTAACAAGGAGGAATCAAATAGGAACGTGCCTCAAGAAGCTACTTAGATGACAATTTAGGATAATGTAAATTTGATAATAAAGAAATATATAGGTGATTTCCTAGAAACATCAAATTTAGTATGTAAAAGATTTTCTAGTTATTGACTAGATGTCATCACTAAAATAAAAGGGAAAGAGATATTTGCTCACCTTCTTTACTGTTGCTACAAAAGAATTTTGTTATATTCTTGTTGCTATTGTTTTCTTGAATGTAAAAAGAAATATATTTTAATTAATCATTAATGATAGAATCTAGTACATGATGATAATCTCATTTTCTTTGTTGATTTCTGAATTTGTATTTCATTAATTAAAGTCATACCGGCAACATCGATATTCTTTTAATAGTCTAGTTTCTTTCTTTTTTCTAATTTGACTCTTTCTCTATCTTTTCTTTTAAAAAAAAGGAATACAATTTTGAAATGATTATTTGCTTATGAAAGCATGACATGACATATGAACTAAATAAGTTTAATTATTCAATTCAGATTGTTTTTCCCTGTTAAATTGTATTTAGTTAAACAATCTAAAACCTTATGGTTTGAGATAAGTTGGAAGTAGTGAAATTGCAAGGAAACGCACTGGTTTTGTTTTATTCTCTCTATTGAATCATGGTTTACTGGTCAGCCTTGACATCTTTGACTTTTATGCTTTTGCCTTTCTTAAGTGATGAACTAATTATCTAACATCTCTTGTCCTAAAATCTTAATTTAACGTTGGACGACTTTGAGATTTATTGCTAAGAAGTTCTCCCTCATGGCCTCAAGCTAGTTTATTTGTCACATTTCGTTTAGCAATACTCAGATTAAAAAAGAAGAGGTCAATCTGATAGTTTTGAATCATTGAGTCTTAGATTAAATGGGATAGGCAGAATCACGTTCAATCATATGAATATGATGCTACATCAGTTAAATTCAGAACCAAATGAAAGACAATGCCCAATTTAACGGTAAAGAAAATCAATTTCCAACATGCAGAAACTTATGTTTAGTTTAAGGAGAAATGATTGGTTGAACTCAAGGTTGATTAGCCCCCAATAGCTCTCCTACAATATCAGTTATGTTCAAGCGAGGCAAATCCTAGTAAATAACAAGTATTGGCTTATGATTAAAATAATCACAAGGTATCTTTTATTACATCTGAATCTGTTGTCATAAAGCCCCCTGGCATGAGATATCCTTTCTTCTGGAGGGGGAAAGGGCGCATCATCTAGCTTTGCCACTAATGGGACAAGCACTCAAATTAGATAGCAGATGTCATACTGTCGATGTGCTAAGTGCTAACACATGTATAAGCCTTCTCTGGAGGCCAGGGTAAGTTATGACAGAGCCATCACATATGCTACATTTGCTGATACAGACAACAGAGACTAGCTCTAGGATGGAGGAATTTGACGAGCGAGAAAAGGCACTTCCACCACTGTACCCACAACATCATCACCAATAATTACAGTGTCCCCCTCAGAAGCAGCTTTCCTCTTAATATAGCCAAGTCCTAGGGGCTGAGATGCTCCTTTACCAATTGTGAAACTAGTCACCTTGCCAACCTGCCAAAGTTCATAGCACCATCATTCTGCCAATTCCTTACAAATGGTCATACTAGGATCGATAAATAAAAGGGACCTGATTTCAGTAATGCACTAGACAAGATGGGTATGCCATGTATTGTTGTTCATCAGAATTATCGTAGTCTTAGACAATTCCTCAACGAGGCAATAATTTTGTTAGATGCATTTATATGCAAGATAGAAGCCAGAACAATGCAACGGGTTAATGTGCAAAAATACAATTTGTTACAATGTAGAGCTATCACAATAGGGACTGAAATAATCAATTGGGAAATCAGAAAAGCACAAACCTTTTTCCCGTCGACTGAGATGATGCTGCCAGGTTCCACTGGCGATGATACACGTATTCCCCACAGCCTCTGTTTGATGCCATCGTAAGTTACAAGCCTAGAAATGGTTTCTTGGCCCTTATAGCACCCTGAAATTAATTTCTCAACTTTGAGAAACCACAACCAGAAGGAAGCATAAATATAAAAATAGGAGCTTAGGAACCTTTATTTAGAGAAACAGCATTCCACAGATTAGCCTCCAGAACATTAAACTCATCAGTGAGCTCTTTCCCAGGAGCTGGTCTTCCTGCATGATTTAAGAACAAAGCTTTCTGCATCAATATTGGGAATCACATCAGACAGGGTGTTAATTGCTCGATACTTTAGGACAGGAACCAAAATAACAGGAGTCAGAACATAATGGTATCATAACCTCAACAAAAGATATTATCTGGAATATTAACAATAGAAAGATGGAATCAAATTGTCCTTAATTACCTTGAAGTATCCTTAAAGTTTCCCATGCATTAGAACCCATTGGGATGGCCCCATGACCTAGAAGAGCTTTCCAGACCGATTCAGCAGCAGCTGGAGACATCAGTAGAGAGTAACCTTCTTCAGAGATGATATTTCCCACTCCCACAGTTATTGGCATTCCATTTACCTTCACATGTCGATGAATTTCATAGGAAAAAGTAAAATTTTAAACCTCTTATTTCTTGGAAAACTCAGGCATGACAATATGATCAAGAAATTGCTATTAATCTACAACATTTTTTGGATAAGGGCTATTAATCTACAACATATAGGACACGAGAACAACTACACCAGCAAAAGTTAAAGGGTAAGAAGTTAACAAGCAAGTACGGTAAGGAAGGAGATAAATTGCGGATATTGCAGACAAATGGCAGAGAAACTGTAAATATTCTACATTGAGAAGTTTGATTCTGACAACACAAGAACAGCCATGAATGCAGCACAAGGTTGCAATTGGAAATGACAAATAAATGGGTAGATAGTCATGTTTCGTAGTCATGCAAGTGAGAATTTGGTGAATTGATGCATGAACTAAGAATGAGAGAGGGTGCAATGAAGTCTGAACATTTCTTATTCAATGTGTTCAAAACCAATGCCTCTCTTTGAAAAAGAGAAAAGAGCATTGGAAATCGTTTTCAAGTTTGGATTATTTGGCACAATCTAATCACCATATTACATTGAATATTTTTCTTACGAAACTACTTGTTTGGTTACCATACAAGATAATCAATTGTCAGAGCTACTACCAATCATAAATAATTCTCTTAATTGAATATTCAGTTTGATCCGACTTGTATTTTCATGGTATTTAAGAGAATAATGTTTGAATGATGAGCACTTTGCATTTTGAGGAAAGACTTTGTATCTTGCACAGACTAAGACAGTAAATAGATCAAACAATATGAATTAGAGCTTAGAAGGAGCATCAAATAATCACACAGTTCAAATAATTTAAAACAAACAGATCTACAGTTCTTTTTTTTCTTTTGACATACATATACATATTTTCCAGAATGAATCAGAGAGGGAATTATCGGATTACACTGTAATGCTTATGTGAGCCATACGGTTGTCCAACTATGTCAGCAAGATTCAGAGCTTCCATTATCTGTTTGTAAACCATTACATGCAAAAGTTAGTTTTAGATTTTAAGAGAAGAAAAAAAGATAACAATATTATCAATTCGTTTGACGATTAAGTAGACACAGTTCCTACTTGGTTGCTTCTAGGCCCTATTAGTACGAACAAGGATGTTTGTCCGGTAATATCTTGAATTTCAACTTTGTCTGCAAAGAATATGTACCTATATTCAATAGAAGTATGATATACTGTTAAATCAGCAAGTAAATAACGCGCACATAACTGGTTAGGCCCCAAAAATATATTCAAGCATAGATAAGCAAGAGTGTGAGCAATCCAGAGCAAAAGCATGGACATACTTCTTAAGCATTTCAGTTATTCTTTCCTTGGTCACTGGAGAGACCACCAATGTAATTGCAGTTTTCTGTGAAATGTAAGATGGACTTCAATAATATTCTAACATATGAAAGCTTAGGCACAAGGAACCAATTCTCAGCAAGGGAACTATAAAAGATTACCATAATCCAGGCGTGGGCAATATCGATGGTTCTGGCAGTTGGTGTCACAAAAACAGTGTCACATCCCTACAATTCCCAGACATGAAATATAAGAAGCAGAACACCAGTGGAGTTTGCTACTTTCATCTACCTAGAATTGCCTAAATCAAGTAATACCTGCCCTTCATGAAGAATTTCAAAGTTAGCAGTACTTTGGTTGTGAAGAAACTGAACCCTGTCTTCTCCACTAACTGTGTGAAATGAAAAGATAAACAGAGATCTCTGATATAGCAACTACGAATGAGTAGCCTTCAAAATATTTCCAACTAAGTAGAAAAACTTATTTCCTGTCCGTCCACAATACATAACTAGCATGAGAACAAGTGTTAATAAAATTTTCACATCCAATCTCCACATGATTTGTACTACGGAATAAGCATAATACTACATTCCGCAGAATCAGTGAATCACTGAACTCAAAGGTGGGAAGAACTTACCTTTTTTATTAGAAGAGGAATGCAGACTTTCTTTAAATGGTAAAAGTGGACTTTTTCTAGATATATTAAACAACTAACCTAACCTCTATTCAGCCACGTCAATAGATTATTCACAGATTAGACTGAAGTTTACAAGAAAAAAAATCATTTTCAGTATGAAAATGTGTGGATGAATGTACCTCTTATCCTGCCGTAGTGAGAAAGATCCACAACCTAGAACAAAATGAATGATACCATCAGGTCACATTTTGCAAGACTAACCTCAGCAGTGTACAAGTTCCCTTACAAAGCCAGGTTCAATTCCAGATATTGCAGTAAAATTTACAACACATGATAATTAACGATCTTTTAATCAACAGATGAAAATCATATGACAAAAAATTTTAATTGGAAAAAAATAACTAAAATTACCAAGAAAACCTGAATCAAACTAGATACACACCGCGACACCATTTTCAACAGCATCTAGTGCCTCCTCGTCATTATCGAATGTTCCTATTGCCCCATCTTCTGATACCTTGGCCCCAGCAACCGTCATAGTATCCTGTAGGAAGCAAAAGAAGAAAACGTTAGGCAAGTAAGTAAATAAACAGAAAATACAAGCGAAATCCAACTGTAAGGAGAGCAAGAGTGAAAGCATATAGAAGCATCATGTCAGTGACGTCTCATCCTTCAGTTATTGATCGGGAAACATTTAGCTGATGTAACAGTATTTCCTTCTTGTACCCTCATTGTTCAGGAGAAGTTCTCTAACGTCTAACTACCCACTGAAGTGAGACATTCCAACTTCCAAGCATGGTTAGACGGAGCCTGGGCAGGAGGGGCACCCCCTAACCACAATGCATGTCTCTCCCCCCATCCCTCTTTATTACATGGAGCATTTGTTTTTTCTTTTCTATTTCTTTTGTGTCTCTTTTGGTGAGGTTCCACAGGTGTAAGTATATACTCTCTCTCTCTCTCTCTCTCTCTCTTTTCTTTTTTTAAAAATAAGAGTGGTGAATGGAGGTGTTAAGAGGGGACGATGTAGATCTAAAATCAGCCGGAAGGACCTGCAATTTCTTGGGAACAACGACTTAGTGAAAGATAGGGCACATTGAAGGAAATACCTATTTCAGTCATGTTAGCACTTTTACTTTCCGTCCTATGCTTTTCTAGGAGTTGTTTAGCCTTTCAGAAAATTTATAAGTAGAAAATATAAGGAACTTCAAGTACTTCTATTTTTATTGTTATTTTGTACAATATTGGCCTAAGATGAGTTTAAATGGAGTAGCAAGGTCCAACTTGTTTGGGACCGAGGCTTAGTTGTTGTTGTAGTTGTTTGGTGTCCGGGCAAGCTTGTGCACCACAACCAATCCCCGGGTACCTGCTACCTCCAACCACCACAAGTACTGTTTAACTTTGTCCACCATGATTTTGACAAATACGAGAATTCACCCAGTATTCCCTTGGCTGGAATTCAGACCTCGGTTCCCATGGGCTGTTCGAATGCTAGGACAACTTTTGTTGTTAGGTTCACTAATTTACTTAGTGTTTCAAGTTTTGGCAATAATATCCAAATATTTCAAGTAATTTTACCCAGCAAATAAGTCTATTAAACAAGCCAATTATATAAAACACACAAAAAAGGAATTGAAAAAAATGAAATATGCTTCGATTAAAGCCCACAATCAACAAATAATTGACTTAAAAACATCAACAAATAATTTGGATTCATTCAACAATGTGTAAATTTTGGTATTATTATACTTACGAGGAGGTCATGGTCAATGGGAGGCGGAGAAAGGTCGAAAGGCAGCGCAGCTGCAGGAGAAAAAGAAAGCCGCCGCTTAATCTTCGCCGGCGGCGCATCGTAACTGAACGGCCGGTAAGCTAATGGAGTGGGAAAGAGATGAAGAATGGGTGAGGAAGAAAAGGAGTGACAAGGAAAGAGCACGTTTGCACCGTAGCAATACGCCATCGCTCCAACATTTGGATTTTGATACGACCCAATTTTTATAGGAGCACATGACCATCCATTTTAACATAATGGTTCGATTACGTCGTATTTCTCTTATTTTTAAACAGTCATACCATATCAAATTTTCAGTTTATTTATTAAGCATAATAAATTATGTTTATAAAATTATTCAAATGATTATATAATAAATTATCTCACGCTATAGTGTATCTAACGTTCCTATCCCACTCTCCCCACGTTTCTGAACCTTTCTCCCTCCATTAACGCTGAACTTCCTTATTTTTTCAAAAGCTTTTTCATTTTCTCTCTCAAAATCCCGATTTCTATCTTAGAATTCTAAGGTTGAGAGACTGTCACTACCCAAATCTACCATGTCGTGATGGCGCCTAACGTGGAACTAGGCAAGCCGACTCATTTATCAAGACAACCCGATATTTCAAAATAAAGATTTCTTTAAGCTATTTAATTAATAAAACTTCATAAGATAATTCTAAACGACAAAGTGCGGAATGAAAAAAAAAGCCCGACATCGGGGTGTCAGTTGTCATGAGCATCTATTAAGGACTGTCCGATAAAACTAAGACTAATACAGTATGGAAAACAACTAATAATATCTAAAGGAAGATAGGAGGGAGAAGAGCAAAGTTGCGATCGCCATGCAGCTACCATGCTAACTCCACAAATCCGCGACGGATGAAAATCAACGCTCGCTAGCACGTCCAGCAACCCCTAGATCTGCACACAAGGTGCAGGAAGTAATGTGAGTACGCCAACTCAGTAAGTAATAAAGGTAAATAAAGACTAAGCAGTAGGAAAATACATAAAATCCACATCATGAAATCTCAGTAAGTGCAACATGCTTCCAAATCAGTATATGAGTCAAATCATCTCGTAAAAATTCAGTTTTCGATAAAAATCATTTGAAGATATTTTTCAACAGTTTCAACAGAGACTCAATGTAAATGAGAGTAAAAGTAATGAACATCATAAACAGCTCCTCGTGCACAACATCACTCAAAACCAGCCCCTCGGGCATAACTCATAACACTCACTCAGGGTACCCGCGCTCACTGGGGGTGTGCAGACTCCGGAGGGGCTCCTACAGCCCAAGCGCTATAATCCGCACGGACAACTCACGTGCTGCACGGGCAACTCACGTGCTGCACGGACAACTCACGTGCTATAGTATCAATATCAGAATTCGCACGGACAACTCACGTGCTATACTCTCAATATCCTCACAATTACAGGCCTTGGCCTCACTCAGTCATAAACCTCTCAAGCCACTCGGACTATCAGTAAAAAAAAAACAGGATGTTCAGCCCAAAATACCATTTTATGCATCAAAACGGAGTAGTAAAGACTAAGTTATGATATCAGTAAACACAACATGACTGAGCATAGATCTTAAATCAAAACAGTGAGAGGATAATAAGAAAAGGCCCGTAAGGGTCCAAATAGCTTTGGCACGAGGCCCAAATATGGCATTCAGCCCATTTATAGCAATTCTTTCTAAAACACACAAGTATCATATAGTTCCAATCAAATACGCAACTTAATAGTTGCTACGGGACGGACCAAGTCACAATCCCCAATGGTGCACTCCCACACGCCCGTCAACTAGCATGTGCGTCACCTCAAAGTAGTGAAACGATGTGGATTCCGGGGTTTCGTACCCTCAGGACAAGATTTACAATCATTACTTACCTCAAATTGGTCAAATCCCTACTCCGCGACGCCCTTGCCTCTGGAATCGGCCTCCGAACGTCCTGAGTCTGACTATAAGCAATACAATGCAATCAATATAGGCCAATGAACCAATTCCATACGAAAAATTATCAATTTAGACCAAAATCCCGAAATTCATTCAAACCCAGCCCCCGGCCCACGTCTCGGAATCCGACAAAAATCACAAAACTAGAAATTCCTTTCACTCAAGAGTCTATCCATACCAAAATTATCAAAATCCGACATCAAATGGTCATTCAAATCCTCAAATTAAACACTCCAATTTCCAAGCCCTAACCCCTCAATTTCATCCATAATTTCTACCAATTTCATGCTTAAACAACTGAAATTTACAATAATCACAAGTATTAAGCTCAAATAACTTACCTCGATGAGTATCCCCTTGATTCCCTCTTCAAAACCCTCCAAAAACCTCAAAATCCGAATGAAAAATGGTGAAGAATGGCCAAAATTCGCGAAGGTTTCCTTATATACGTTCTGCCCAGGCATCTCGCACCTGCAGCCCATTTCACGCGCCTGCGGTCAAGATGCCGCATCTGCGGTTTTCACTTAACTCCCCAGCTTCCGCACCTGCACCCCAAGCCTCACACCTGCGGGCGCACAGGTGTGGTCATACCTTCCGCTCCTGCTACAAATTCCGCATCTGCAGTTGCTTCCCGCGTCTGCGATCATCGCACCTGCGGTCCCCACTCCGCAGGTGCGGAAACATCAGAAGCAGCAGCTTCAGCTTCAAAATCCCACTTCGAAACTCTCCATTAACCATCCGAAATCATCCCGAGCCCCTCGGGGCCTCAACCAAATATACCAACATATCACATATCAACATATGAACTTAGTCGAACCTCCGAAACACTCAAAACAACATCGAAACACCAAATCACCCTCGGATTCAAGCCTAAGAACTTCTAAACTTCCAAATTCCGCAAACGATGCCGAAACATACCAAACCTCGTCCGAATGACCTGAAATTTTGCCCACACGTCACAAATGACAGTACGAACCTACCCCAACTTCCGAATTCCATTCCAAACCCGATATCAAAATTTCCACTTCCGACCGAGAATCGCCAAATTTTCAATTTTGCCAATTCAAGCCTAATTCTACCACGGACCTCAAAATCACATTCTGGACGCGCTCCCAAGTCTAAATCACCTAACGGAGATAACCGAACCATCAGAATTCACATCCAAGATCTTCTACTCATAAGTCAACATCCAGTTGACTTTTCCAACTTAAACTTCTAAATAGGAGACTAAGTATCTCAATTCACTCCAAAACCATTCCGAACCCGAACCAACTAACGCGATACGATCAAATATAACTGAAGAACACAAAAGGGAGCAGAAATGGGGGAAACGGGGCTACAACTCATGAAACGACCGGCCGGGTCGTTACATCCTCCCCCTCTTAAACAAACGTTCGTCCTCGAACGAGTCTAGAAACATACCTGAAGCCTTAAACAGGTGTGGATATCTGCTCCACATCTCCCTCTTGGTCTCCCAATTAGCCTCCTCCACCAGCCGCCCCAGGACATCATTAGGTCCCAGTTGTGGACGCTCCAACAGGACCAGCTCAGGCATCGACTGTGCCTATTGTTATCCCAGCTCTTCAGGAGAACTTAGCTCAGATCTTGACCGTGTGCACCAGTCTTGATCAGGCGGTCGCTGTTTCTACTACAGTAGCTACTTCCCAAGCCGGGGGAGGCACTCAAACTCCTGCCGCCCGTACACCCGAGCAGGTTGTTCAGGGATTGCAGACACCGGAGGCACCACCAGCCCAGCCGGTTGCACCTTCTCAGGATTATGTAGTACCAGTCATGCCTGATGACGAGCAGCATAGGTTGGAGAGGTTCGATAGACTTCAGCCTCCGACTTTCAGTGGTATAGAGGGCGAGGATGCCTAGGGTTTCTTGGACAAGTGTTAGAGGATTCTTCGTACGACGGGTATTCTGGAGACTAGTGGGGTCTCGCTTATTACCTTTCAGTTCTCTGGAGCTGCCTTTACTTGTTGGGAGGCTTATGAGAGGCGTAGGCCTGTTGGTGCAGCGCCCCTCACATGGCAGCAGTTCTCCGTTCTCTTTCTGGAGAAGTATGTGCCGCAGTCTCGCAGAGAGGAGCTGTGCAGGCAGTTCGAGCAGTTGCGTCAGGATGATATGACTGTGACACAGTATAAGATGAGGTTTTTTGAGTTAGCCCATCATGCTATCTGGTTGGTTCCCACAGACAGGGAGAGGATCAGGATGTTCGTTGATGGCCTCTCATATCAGTTGCGGATTCATATGACCAGAGAAAGGGTGTCCGGTGCTTCTTTTGAGGAGGTGGTTGACATTGCTCGGGAGATAGAGTCAGTTCACCGCCAGGAGCGAGTTGAGAGGGAGTCCAAGAGGCCTCGGGGATCTGATAGAGGTAGTCCATTCAGGCATGCTCAGTCAGCTCATCCAAGCCACCGTGGTGGATCATCTGGCCATGGTTCTCACAGTTCACATCAGGGCCACTCATCTCTCAGTGCCCTTCCAGCACAGAGCTCTCATCATGCCTCGTCTGCTCAGGTTTCTACGGGTAGTTCAACAGGGTATCAGGAGAAGCAGTTCCGTCAGAGGAGGGGTTGTTTCGAGTGCGGGGATCTTGGTCATATCAAGAGAGACTGCCCTAGGTTGTTGAGTGGGACTCCGCCTCAGCATAGGAGTCAGCCATCGACTTCAGCACCAGTTACTTCACCACCCGCCCAGTCAGCTAGGGGTGGGGGGCAGTCAGCTAGGGGTCGCCCTAGTGGGGGAGGTCGATCAGGTGGTGGTCAGGCCCATTTCTATGCACTCCCAGCCAGACCAAATGTTATTGCTTCATCAACAATTCCTTCCCTTTCGATGAAGAAGAAAGGAACTCTAACTAAAAGCCCTAAAAACCTACTGATTCGGGAGATGGCAAAATTCCTGCTTTTGAATTTGGATGCTTTCTCACAGGATTCATAAAAAAAAAATAGTGAAATCCCGACATGCAACACCATAGAAAAAATCTCCGCTTACCCCTCGTGAAACTAGGGTAGAGGCGCGAAAAAAATAAAGCATGATAGGGATGCTACAGAAGGATCATTATTTGCTAAGTCATTAAAACGGAAAGGCAAAGAAATCGCTGGTGATGACGATTTCGTGGATGAAGAAGTGATTCCCAAATCTGCAAAAAAAAAATAAAAAAAAAAAAATCAAGGTGTCTCTTGCTAACAAACCTTCAAAAAGGAAGGAGGTTCATAAATTTCCTATACACATACCTCAACAACCTTTAGACAAGGTAAAATTGTAGTCATTACAA